GCGTGGGTGTGGAGTATATTCACCCCCACACCTGCTGCCCGAGGACTCTCTCTGGGCCACATGACACAAACAACTGACTCAGAGGTGATACGTGACGTCACTACCAACACCCTCTGGCGACCATGACGTCAACTAGTATATATATTTAGCCTCTCTTAGACGTGCTTGTATGATGACCTCTGTACAATGATCTGGTAGACTCACAAATAAAATCAGCCACGTGAAGATTAGACACTCCCCAGCTTATTTCATCGGAAGATTAGACACTCCCCAGCTTATTTCACCTGAAGATCTTCCACCCTAACGATACCCGGGGGTTTTAGTCAGTTTAAAGTAGGTTAGGTTAGTGTTTAAGGTGGTTAAGCTTTAGTTGAAATAAGCTGGGGTGTGTCTAATCTTTAGATGATCCAACAAAACTCCTATTACTCATCTGAGACTCCCTGACCTCTCTAACCCCTGTCTAACCCCGACCTCTCTAACCCTACCTCTCTAATCCCGACCTCTCTAACCCTTGAACTATGACCCTAGCCTTGACCTTTCTGGACTCTAGCACCTTAGGGCCACCACTCACAGGGCCACCACTCACAGGGCCACCACCTTAGGTTAATGAAAATTGTAGAAGGAATCATTAACTAACACGTGAGTAATTTAAGAGGTTATATTACTGGCGGCGACCGTCCTGGGGTATCATATTTTATTATATATCTCTCTACATTCAAATCCACTACGGTTTCAATCAGAAAGAGAGAGAGAGAGAGAGAGAGGTAATACAAAGTAACACAATATATATCAACAGTAGTACAGTAAGTTAAAAGAAAATGGAGTAAAAAAAAGAGTTAAGGAGGTACTTTTATATATCCTTCTTTTTTCTTTTTTTTTTTACATCTCATATTTCTCTTCTTTTTTTTCCGGGTCTGCTGTAGGAGGGTGGCGGCGGTGGACAATATTCCAGGAGCAGCGATGTTCCTAGCGACGCTCTCTGTGGCGGGTAAGTGCCAATTTCTCGCTCCAATTTAGCGAATTTTAGTGAGTGAGAGACACTTTGAGAGATCCTGTGAAGTCCAGGGCGAGTGAAGGAGGAGCAGGAGAGGAAGAAGAAGAGGTGGTAAGGAAGGAAGAGGAAGAGGAAGAAGAGGTGGTGATAAGGAGGGGGGGGGGAGTGGTAAGGAAAGAGGGGGAAAGAGAAGGTAGTAGAGAAGGAGGAGGGGGAGGAGTAAGGAGGGGTGAGGTGGTAAGGAGGAGAAGGAAAGGAGGAGGAGGTAAGGGAGGAAGTGAGTCAGGAGAGATGATAAGAAAGATGATGACGGGGAAGGGGAAGAAGAGGAGGAATAAGAGGAGGATAGAGAAAGAAGATAGAAATTGAAGACTGTGATGATGCGAGTGAACAAGATAAATAGACAAAGAGAAAGAACCATGTGAGAGACAGTGAGAGAAAGAGGGAGATAGATAGAAAGTGGGGGGGGAGGAGAAAGAAGGAAGGAATCAAAGAAGAGGGATAAATTAGCAGGAGGATAACTGGGAAAGGATAAGGATGACGTATTATGAAAAGGGTGTGGTAAAGGTGGAGAAAAGGAGGCATAGAGGAGGATGGTGAAGGGAATCTAGCAGGAAGAATAGTAAGAGGAGGAGTAGGAGTAGGAGTAGCAGGTAACCGAGCAGGAGGCAAGGAAGCGGAGATGACCCTAATCAAAGAGTATGGAGGTAAGGGGGGGCCCAGACAGGGGGGCCGTCTTAACCCCCCCCCTCCCCTCACAATTTCCTGTCTCCTTCCTACTGACTGCCGTGTTAACTGACGACGATGGCTTGTAGTGTCTGCTGCTGCTGTGACCTATAGTGTCTGCTGCTGCTGTGACCTGTAGTGTCTGCTGCTGCTGTGACCTATAGTGTCTGCTGCTGCTGTGACCTGTAGTGTCTGCTGCTGTTGTGACCTGTCGTGTCTGCTGCTGTTGTGACCTGTAGTGTCTGCTGCTGTTGTGACCTGTAGTGTCTGCTGCTGTTGTGACCTGTAGTGTCTGCTGCTGTTGTGACCTGTAGTGTCTGCTGCTGTTGTGACCTGTAGTGTCTGCTGCTGTTGTGACCTGTAGTGTCTGCTGCTGTTGTGACCTGTAGTGTCTGCTGCTGTTGTGACCTGTAGTGTCTGCTGCTGTTGTGACCTGTAGTGTCTGCTGCTGTTGTGACCTGTAGTGTCTGCTGCTGTTGTGACCTGTAGTGTCTGCTGCTGTTGTGACCTGTAGTGTCTGCTGCTGTTGTGACCTGTAGTGTCTGCTGCTGTTGTGACTGACCTGTAGTCTGCTTGACCTCTTTAATCTTTTTCGTTTACACCTTTTCAGTCATGTTTTTTTTTCCCTCATCTTCCTCTTCCACCTATTTCCTCTACTGCTTTTCCTCCTCCTATTTTTCCTCCTCTTTCTCCTCCTTCCTGCCCTTCTTCCTCCTTCCCCTCCTCCTCCTCCTGCCATCACTCCCGAGCACCTCCTTCCTCTACTGACTAGCGGAGGAG